GCCATCTCCCCGGCCCGACTTTATTCTTTAGAATATTTCTATTGATAAACTATTAACTTTATTTTTTATTTATTTATTTTTTATGTATTTAATACAGAGTCTACAGGGTCTCACTATACATATCAGACTCTGTGATTCATAGTGATCCTCCTGTTTTCAGCTTTCCAAGCACTGGGATTATAGGCCTGTGCCACCATGCCAAGTCTCATTTGCCATCTCAGTGCACCCTGGGGGCAGGGCCAGCAGGGGCTGGCTTGGCAGGCCAGGGATCAGATATTAACTTTAATTTTATGAGTTTTATTGTATTTGTTTATTGCTGCAGTAGGGATTGAACTCAGGACCCTGCTCTTGCCAGGCAAGCACTTATTCTACTGAGCTATCTCCCCAGCCCCCTTACGGGTTTTATTATAGTGAGTAATTCTTAAAAAAGAACAACACAAACACATTTTTTCTTTTTTTGTTTTTTGTACCGGGTATCAAACTTGCAACCTTGCGCTTGCCAGGTAGGTGCTTACACTGCTGAGCTATATCCCTGGCCCCCATGAATAAATTTGTGTATGAACTACAAAATGAAAATACCAATAGCACACTGCATAAAGAAAACCCTACTTCATTTCCCACACCTAAGGCAGTCTGCATGTTTCTTACACAAGTTCTGCTTACATATTGATAGCATGTATGTTTTGTTCTCGTACGGCTGACATCTTTTTTGTTTTCTATTTTTGTAGTAGGTCCTTGCGATTTTGTGCCTGCCTGTTCACCTGTCAGTGCACCAATGTGCTTCACAATTTTTTTTTTTTTTTTTTTGCATAGTTCTCTGCAAAAACAGAAACATTTTGTTTTCTGCTATAGATGATCTCTTATGAACTCTGGTTCCCACTCCTCTGGAAAGATTTTTTTGTGGTATTTTGCACTTGTTATTTTCTTTGTAAATTGTTGAACTATTTATGCCCTACATAGTTGGTTTCATATAAAACAACCATTCGCTGATGCCTTGTGTTTCTAGTGACATCATACATAACTTACAGACAACATCTACCCCTTTGGTTTTGTTGTAGAATGTTTCAATCTCAGGTTACTGTTTTGTTGAGGTTTCCCTATCAGTATTTCCATCATGGTGAAATGTTGACATCAGCAGAAACAGTTTGCTTTTCTTTGCCATATATGAGGTCAACATTATCTTGAAACTCAAAAATTGTACTTTATAATTCTCTGTTTGAAACTGCAACATTTCATTTGGAATTTCTCCTTTGCTCTTGTGTATAGTTCCTATACTGGTCAGCTTGTGCTCTGTTAGCAATGTAATATCAGTTGGAAACTGGTAACCAAATGTCGAATGTCACATGCCCCTTAGTCGGAGGTGGGAGCAACAAGTCTGCTCATGGCATCATTTGGTCTATTACTGTTGCGTTCAGGATAAGTATCTAATCTGAAAGCATAGTGAGTCTTCACATCTATGAGGTTATGCATTTTTATGCTATATTTTGACTGATTGCTTTTCTGTAATTTTTGGCATTTTATATTCCTGTGATCCCTATGAGAAATCAGTGCTAAGTACAGCAGACCTGTGAATGCTTTCAGTTCAGCTAATGCGGGGTCATAGTATGCACAGTTTTGAATATGGCTGTTGGTGCATACAGAATGTTATACTTGCGTGTGTGCTGAACCAGGGATTGAACTCAGGCCCTTGCGCTTGCCAGGCAAGCACTTATCCTACTGAGCTATCTCCCCGGCCCTCTATACTTGCATTTTGGCTTTTGTGTTTCACAGCGTCTTGTAGCATTTTGTCTGTTATTTCTAATATTCAATGTCAGTACTGACATTCTGTCTAGTATGTTTCAGCCCTTCCAAGACCTTTTTTTTTTTTTTTTATTGTGGTACTGGGGATTGAACTCAGGCCCACGTACTTGCCAGGCAAGTGCTTATTCACTGAGCTATCTCCTCGGCTGCCAAGACCTTCTTTATATATTTTCCTGCCTAGTTCTAACACTATCATTACATTTAGTTGAATGGCCATTTCCCAGTATTTTGACCAGTCAAATATGTACTCACATTGGTGTTTCCTTGCTCATCTGAATCAAGGAGTCTGCATTCCTTGTGTCTGTATCAGTAGATTTTGTTTTTCCTTGAGACAAGGTCTCACTATGCAGTTGAAGCTGGCCTTGAGCTCACTTTGTAGCCCAGACTGACCTTGAACTCTGAGATCCTCCTGCCTCAGCCAGCTGGTGCTGGGATGACAGGCATCCCCTGCCCAGCCTATTAGTTGGTTCTTGCTCTAATTCGTGGTCACAGCATCATCTGTTGGCTCACATGCCCAGCATCAGAGTCCTGACCATCACCACTACCATCCCCATCCTCCACCCACACTGTTCTTCTGTTATAAAAACATGTATTTTGCCATGATGGATCACATCATGCATACATGAGTAATCTGGTGACTCACTTTTTTTTTTTAATGTACTTGGTTGTTGCAGGGTCTCACTACTATGCAGCTTGGACTCATAGTGATCCTCCTGCTTTCAACCTCTCCAGTGCTGGGATTACAGGCGTGTGCTATTACGCCCAGACTCTGTCCAGTTCAGCCCATCCTGGGGTTGGGGCTGGCACGGCATGTGGTGCCAGGGATCAAACTGCAACCCCTGTGCTTGCCTAAGCAGGTGATTTGGTCTGCTGAGCTATCTCACCAGCCCGATTCACTTTTTTACTTTCCCCAAAACTTGAAAATCTTTTTCTTCATGTGCCATTGTACTAAAGTAGGCTACTTCTACCAGAACAATCAAAATAAAAACATTTTTAACAAGTCTTGCAGTGGGGTGGGTCTGTTGGACCCTGTGTGATGCTCAGTTAAACATACACAAAACTAGTTGGCTGGAACATAAAGGCAGGGCCAGATCCTGCTTTGCTACTTGTGCACACGTATACACTACTTACCATTTGTCAACAGAGATTGCTTCCTGTATCCCAGTACTGAGATGTACAGCCAGCTACTATTATGCCAAAGTACAAATATACAGTAGAAAATTAAGGGATGGGTCTGCTGGATCCAGTCTTACACCCCTATTGGCTACCTTAGTTACTTTTCTTATCATTGCAGCAAAACACCTGATACCTGCTGGGCATGGTGGTGGTACCCAACTGTGATCCCAACCCTCGGGCGGCTGAGATGGCTTGGGCTGCATATTAAGTTCAGGTCCAACCTGTACTGTGTAGTGACATGTCTCAAACAAAACAAAATAACAACCTTACACTCAAAGGAGGAAAGATTTAGCTCACAGTCTATGCAGGTTTTAGCCCATAATTGGCTGGCTCCAAGGCAAGGTAGCTTGGCAGGGGGCATCACAGAGGAGAAAAGAGTTTATGGGAGGGCAGGCAGAAGGCAGCAAAGTACAGATGAAGCAGCAAAGCAGCATGCAGCAACAGCAGCCCTCTTTTCTGGCCCTTGTATTCTATCCAGGCTACTGCCCTTAGGGTTAGCACTCAGGATGGGGTAGCCTTAATCCCAGCATGGAATCCTTAATCCCAGTGTCGCACACCTGTGCACCAGTCACCTCAGAAAAGCCCCTCCTATGACATGAGGATTTGGGGAGGGCACGCAGACACAAGCCGTAAGAGTCGCCAGGTTGGTGGGTGAGTGTGTAATCATGGCACATGGAGGCTGAAGCCAGAAGACTTGAGTGTGAAGCCAGTCTAGGCTGCATAGTGAGACCCTGGCTCAGTAAAACAAAAGCAAGAAGACAGTGTACGTATGTGAGACTTGTGGAGCCGGAGCCGGGGAGCACTCGTGATGTGTTTCGATATGAGTGAGTGTTGCTGTCGGGAACATTCCTGCTGGGGAGCGGAGCCGGTGTGTGCATGGCGGAGGGCCCTCCCTGCGAGTCTTTTCTCTTGAACTTAAGTTCTCAGCACAGACAAATCCCGGCCAGGCGCACAGCTGCTCCCAGGGTGAGTGTTCTGGCCCTTGGCTTTGCCCCCTGAGACTGAATTCCTCCAAGGCAGACGCCACGTGGCATCGTAGCCTTCCACTTGCTCTAGGTCTGCCCAGATTGCCCATCTCCTTCTGTTACTTTAATTTTCATTAATACCTCTTTGCATTCTCTTGATGTTCACATTCCTTGTGTGTGCTGTGAGAAGTCATACTGTGATGCTGTGGCGTCCTAGTGCTTTCTACAGTTCTAGGCCTAGCTGTTTTAATCATCTTTTCCTTTCTGTAGCGGAGGAGGATGAGGACAAAGAAGATGACTTCCGAGCTCCCCTGTACAAAACAGTGGAGATCAAGGGCATTCAGGTGCGCATGAAGTGGTGTGCCACTTGCCGCTTCTACCGGCCGCCGCGCTGCTCGCACTGCAGTGTCTGTGACAACTGCGTGGAGGTGAGCACGGGTGCTGCAGGCTGGTTCTGGGGCAGGGTGGAGGAGGGCTTGTCCTGGGCTCGAGCTGCGCTTATGCTTCCACAGCATCACGTGATGCCCAAATGTAGTCCCTTTTCTTCCGAGATGCTCTTCCTCAGCTGCTTTTATTTTTAATCTTAATTTTACCTAGCTGTGAGCAGTTGTCTGCCAGATTTCCCTTCCAAAGACTGTCTCTCCCCTGCCTGTCCCTCCCCCCCCCCACCCCTCCACCTCTCCTCGGGTTGCGGCAGCTCTCAGTCTATGTCTCTCTGCCTAGGAATTCGACCACCACTGTCCCTGGGTGAACAACTGCATTGGCCGCCGGAACTACCGTTACTTCTTCCTCTTCCTCCTCTCCCTGACAGCCCACATCATGGGCGTGTTTGGTTTTGGCCTCTTGTATGTCCTGTACCACTTAGAGGAGCTCTCGGGCGTCCGCACAGCTGTCACGTATCCTTTTATCCTTCAGGCCATGGTGTAGGGGTTGGGTGGAGAGGACCCGGGGGAAGTGGGGCCCGAGGAAAATGGTTCCACAAGGCCAGCTGTTCTCCTTGACTGCTTGGCATCAGCATGGCAGTGATGTGTGTGGCAGGCTTATTCTTCATCCCTGTCGCAGGTCTCACAGGATTTCATGTGGTGCTGGTGGCCAGGGGACGCACAACCAATGAGCAGGTATGAGCTGCCGCGGGGCAACTGCCTGTGGGTGTCGTGCCAGCTGGGGAGATGGAGGAGCCGGGCGGTGGGCCTCGGGCTGGGGGGTGAGCACCTTTCTTAGTGCCAGTGGGCTGTCCTCGGGCTTGCGAAGTGCTGCCTGGACAGTTGCCTTTGCGCACACAGTGTGGCTAACCTTCGTGGTTTGCCTGGTGTTGTATGTTTAGAAAAAAATTGTATGGGCCAAGGCCTTGTCTTCCCATATTCATATGGTGCTAGTGTAGAAGCTAAGGGCTATAAGACGGTTGGGATAGATAAGATGTGTAACTGCTGTACCATGTTATGTAAGGGACCTGGACAGCTGCGGATGATCTTACTGTTCCACATTTGGCTAAGGATCCCACTTGACCTCTAGAAACTGAAGTTTGGGCTCAGACACTGTTCCTCAGGTGGTTGGGATTCAAACTGAGGACCCTGACTGTAGAGTCCCTGTTCACAGCCCTTCCAGGTGGAAGCTTTTGGATGGTCACTGTGTGTTTTGCTTACATCTGCATCCCCCAGTGGTTGTTACAGAATAACCTATAGCTAAGGTGCTTTGGCCTTAGAGCCTGACTCGTTTGTCCTCTTCACCTTTCAGGTTACGGGTAAATTCCGGGGAGGTGTGAACCCCTTCACCAATGGCTGCTGTAACAATGTCAGCCGCGTACTCTGCAGCTCCCCAGCGCCCAGGTACGTTACTGCTCCTGGGCCCTGGGCTGTGTTCTGGTGCAGGGTCTCGCCCTAAGAATGGCCAGAGCCTCCAGTGGGAGAGGTGCCCGCCCCTCCCAAGCCTGTGGCTCCAGCTGGCTGAGGTTACAGGAGTGGCCTGCAGATCAGTCCTCCTGAGGCCTGGGGCCAGGAGCCTGTGCCCTGGCCTGTCCTGCTATAGTTTGTAATGGAACCAAGAAAGCTCTGTGGCTGCCTTCCCCACTGCAGCCCCTGTGGGACTGGGGTGGCTTTGATTTGAGGTGAAACCCAGGACTTTGCACTGTCACTGGACTGCTTCTGGCCAGGACTAGGTCTGATACTTGGCAACAAGAGGGGACGTTTGTTTTGTTTTGGGCATTGCTATATTTCAGTTTACAAATAGTACTCATCAAAAATATTTACACATTTGCTTTTAAGTCCATAGGTTACATGTTGTATGTTTTTAGCTGTGTTTCATTTTAAATACTTTTTTTTTTTTTTTTTTTGAGATAGGGTCTCACTGCCAAGCCGGCCCTGCCATGGGGACACACTAGACGGCAATTGAGGCTGGGTGTGGTGGTGCACGCCTGTGATCCCAGCTTTTGGGAGGCTGTAATAGGGTCTTGCTGTGTAGCCCAGGCTAGCCTGGACCTCATGGCAATCCTCCTAAGTGCTGGGATTACAGGTGTGATAGCTATCATGCCCAGCTCTAAATACATGAACTTGCAAATGATCATTCTTTTTTTTTTTTTTTTTTCTGAATGTGGTAAAAAAATACTGTATTAGTGCAACTTTTCATTAGAAGGTGACCACAGATGTAAATGAATGTTTCATGTGGAAATGGCCCTCCATCTGCCATTAAATGGAAATCTTCAACCTCACTGAAGTAGAAGAGAAGTGACAGTGCGCTTGGCAGGAAGAGGACAGCCTGTCTCTACGTCCCTGCACTGTTCCCCTAGGCAGGCGGGGGGCTCACAGGGAGGTTCTCACCAGCCGGGATGTGTGGAGGTTGCATGGAAGAAAGCCTGCTTGCTGTCCACACTCAGGTATCTGGGGAGACCAAAGAGAGAGAAGACGATTGTCATCAGGCCTCCTTTCCTTCGGCCGGAAGTATCTGAAGGGCAGATCACGGTGAAGATCATGGATAATGGCATCCAGGGAGAGCTGAGGAGGACAAAGGTGCGGGCACAGATGTGAGGCAGGCTCTGGGGTCTCTGTGGGCACAGGTTCTAGCCTGCTTGTGCTTCTTACGTTGGGTTGCTGGCTGGGCCCTGAGCTGGCGTGCATGCCGAGCCTGCACTCGCCTTAGTTAGGGGCACAAGAGAGGGCCTTGGGCCTGCAGCTTCCTCAGGGCTCATGGTTTGTGCTAGAAGTCGCTGAAGCCCCATTCTTCTTCTAGAGTTGCAGTCCAGGCAGTAGGACTGCATCCATTTGTTGTAATGTCAGCTTGCAGCTGACAGAAGCGAGTGCCATGTTGTTGGTTGACATGAATTAACAGGTGACCAGAGTAGAGCCCTGTTGGACGCATCCTTTGTCTCCCCCTGTCCCAGAGCCAGGCTGTAAGCGTTGTCCTGTCCTGGGTCAGAGATGCCTGATGACTTGCACATCTAATAATGCCTTCTCTGTGGGGAGGAGCTGCAAGCATAAAGAAGGACCAAAAAGATGTCTAATGGACACTGGGAAGGGAAAGAAAAGGCTCAAGTGGGTGGGGAAAAGGAGGGGACAGGAGGAGGAAAAATGGTAGGAAAAAAGGGAAACAAAAGTTTGGGGGAAATGAGGGCAAGTGAGGTTGAGGGGAGGGGAGTGGGAAGATGCTTTAAAGCAAGATATACATAGGAACAGCTTCCTTAGGCTGAATGTGGTCATTATGTGTATCTAAAATGTATCAGTAAAATTAACAAAAACGGGGGGGGGGGGGGGGAGATGGCTCAGTAGAATAAGCGCTTGCCTGGCAAGCACAGGGGTCGGAGTTCAATCCCCGGTTCAAGAAAAACTGGGTGTGGTGGTGCATGCGTATAATCCCAGCACTTGGGAGGCTGAGGCAGACGGATCACTGAGTTCCAGGCCAGTCTGAACTACTTTAGCAAGACCCCGTCTGAAGAGAAGAGAAACAGCCAGTAGTGAGTTCTGAGAGCCTCTCCCCAGTGCTCCAGTGTGCTTGCCACCACCCTGACCATCCCTCTCCTTTGTGCAGTCCAAGGGCAGCTTGGAGATCACAGAGAGCCAGTCGGCAGATGCAGAGCCGCCGCCGCCACCCAAACCGGACCTGAGCCGCTACACAGGGCTGCGAACACACCTCAGCCTGGCTCCGCATGAGGGTGAGGCCCGGGGTCACAGGAGGACACCTGGTAGCATCGTGTGTGCAGGCTGCTCTTGGGCTGGCCGAACACAGGTGCCATTCACCTCTCCATTAGGGGAGACACTGTCAGCTTCTGGGCAGACCATAGGGTTTCCCAAAGTTTCAGCCTGGCCTGGGCTTAAAGGCAGACTCCTGCCCCCACCTCCCAGAGTGCTGGGATCCCGACGCGCAGCGCTGCATTGTTGCTCCGGGCGCTCCCTTTGCTGCGGGTGAACCTGTTTCTTCAGGCTTGTGATGGCTCCCTGGTGTTTGTCATGCAGATAGCAGCCTGCTGGGCCCTGACAGCCCTCCAACACCCACCATGTACAAGTACCGGCCAGGCTACAGCAGCAGCAGCGCGGCGGCTGCCATGCCGCACTCCTCCAGTGCCAAGGTAGGGTGGCAAGTATGAGGTGGGGCCACTGCACACCGTGCCCCACCGTGTCCTCAGCAGAGGGGCTGTGCCCCGCTGCTCCTCAGTGCTGTCTTTTCTCCCCAGCTGAGCCGAGGGGACAGCCTGAAGGAGCCCACGTCCATTGCAGAGAGCAGCCGCCACCCCAGCTACCGCTCTGAGCCCAGCCTGGAGCCAGACAGCTTTCGTTCTCCCACCTTTGGCAAGAGCTTCCACTTTGACCCCCTGTCCAGTGGCTCGCGCTCCTCCAGCCTCAAGTCTGCACAGGGCACGGGCTTTGAGCTGGGCCAGCTGCAGTCCATCCGCTCGGAGGGCACCACCTCCACCTCCTACAAGAGTCTGGCCAACCAGACGCGCAATGGAAGCCTGTCCTATGACAGCCTGCTCACGCCATCGGACAGCCCTGACTTCGAGTCTGTACAGGCGGGCCCTGAACCTGAGCCGCCACTGGGATACACCTCACCCTTCCTGTCGGCTCGCCTGGCCCAGCAGCGTGAGGCTGAGCGCCATCCACGTCTGGTGCCTGCTGGCCCGCCCCGTGAGCCGTCCCCGGTCCGCTATGACAATCTGTCGCGTCACATCGTGGCCTCACTGCAGGAACGCGAGAAGCTGCTGCGCCAGTCACCCCCGCCCCTGGGCCGTGAGGAGGAGGCCGGCGTGGGGGACTCAGGCATCCAGTCTACGCCAGGCTCTGGGCACGCCCCGCGCACTAGCTCCTCTTCTGATGAGGCCAGGCGCTCACCACTGGCCAAGACTCCGCTGGGCCGCCCCTCTGGGCCCCGCTTTGGCAAGCCTGAGGGGCTCCGGGCTCGGGGCCTCGGGTCCCCCGAGCCAACCCCAGCCGCCCCTTTCCTGGGCAGGTCCACATCTTACAGCAGCCAAAAAGCCCCAGCCAGTGTCTCGGAGGTGGAGGAGGTGGCCTTGCAGCCCCTGCTGACCCCCAAGTAAGTGGCCGGCATGGTGAGGCCCCTCCTGGAAGGGGTGCCTGTGGCCCACTGGCAGGGAGAGCCCCAGTGTGGGAGGATCTCAGGGAGGAGCAGGGCCTGCCTCCTCACTCACTTCCCAACACCTTTTGTCCTCTTCCAGAGACGAAGTACAGCTCAAGAGCGCCTACAGCAAGTCAAATGGGCAGCCCAAGAGCATGGGCCCCGCCCCGCCTGGCCCAGCACAGCCACCGCTCAGCAGCCCCACGCGTGGAGGAGTGAAGAAGGTGTCTGGGGTGGGCGGCACCACCTATGAGATCTCTGTGTGAGCCACCTGCCCACCTGCTGCCTACACCAAAGGGCCCCGGCCACCTTCTGCCCTCCTGCCGATCTGGTGAGCACCCTCGGAGGAGGACAGACAGATGGACTGAGCCGTGGATGTGCGCCGGGCCTGGGCCAGAGACTGGGGAGCTGCCCGGCCTCAATCCTTGGGCAGCCACCCTCCTCCCCGACCAGACTCAGTGGACATTGTGCAATGCTCGCTCTGGACGGAACCAGATCATTTTTAAACCAGAAATAATTTTTTTTATTATTGTTACGGATTCTATTTTTTTCCTCTTCTGCGTTACCAGGTGTGTGTGTACATATATATATATATATATTATATATATTATAAATATCAAAGAAATTATATATCTATCCTGGCTGGGAAGATGGGGAGAACTGTGTACAAGGAAGGGGGTGTCCCTCTTCCCTCTCCTCAGGCCAGCAGGAAGAGACTAAGTTCCCCCCCGCCCCAGGAACCAGCACCTTGTATTGGTGCTGGAGCAGGGCCTAGGCCTGCAGGAGGGGCAGCCTGGGGAGGGGGAGGAGAGGTGAGGGGCTTGCTGTGGGTGGGCAGGCAGTAGGAGCACTGGCCTGGCCCCTGGGCAGTAGCACTGGGACCCCTTCCTGGGGGAGTGAGGGGGCTTCAGGAGTCCCTCCGAACTCTCCCCAGCTTACAGAGTTAACATTATTTTAAAATCAAAGGACAGGAAAAAAGAATCCCAAAAGCAATATTTTTAATCACATGCCAAAAACTGGGGGTGAGAGAAGGAGCAGCAGGCCTGTGCCCCTCTGCTGTGCTGCCCTGGCGTTGCCCTCAGCCCCACCTGTTCGGCGCCGGGTAGAGATGCAGGGTTCTGACAGCACGGGAAGGCCCAGCCTCCACACAGAGGCCCGTTTATTTTTTATTCTGATTAGTCATTTTAAACCAACAAGGAATAAAAAAAAATCCTGCTCTCACCAGCTCCCCGCCGTGGTGTTTGTCTTATCAAAGCAGGCTGTGCTTGGAAGTCATCCCTAGGAAAACCTGGTCTGCTCCCGTCCCAGCCCATCTCAGGCAGGACGGAGGAAGTTACTTCTAGTCCCAAGCCCTGCTTTCACCGGGGTGAAGTAAGCTGTTTTGGCTCTGGAGACAGGGTCTCATGATGGAGTTCAGCTGGCCTTGAGCTGCGTGGTCCAGGATGGCTTGAAACTCAGCAGTCTTCTGCCTCAGCCTCCTAAGTGAGTTTTATAGGGAAGTCCCCACACATGGTTTAAAGATTTCTAAAAAAAAAAAAAAAACCCCAGGCACAGTGGTACCTGTAATGCCAGCTCAGCAGGCTAAGGAGCAGGACTGCATGTTCAAGGGCAACTTAGCAAGATCTTGTTTTAAGTGTGCAAAGCTGTGGGATCAGTCCCTACTGTTGAAAAAAAAAAACAAAAACCTAAAAATGTAAGGTGCTGAAGCTCATTTCTAAGCTCGGAGGCCACAGGACCAGAGTCTGGGTTCCCCTTCTTTGCCCCTGTTGAGCCGGTCCTTTTGAAGCAGCCAGAGGGGAAGTCTGGGGAGAGTGGCCAGGGAGGTGACCTGTGCAGCAGGAGAAGTGGCCTTGATTAGGGAAGGGCATCCCTCTGCCAGACCTCAGAGGGTCACTGTCTGCTGTCCAGAGGTGACCCACAGCAGAGCCCACAGGGACACGGTGTGTGACCAGGCTGCTGCCTGGAGAGCGCAGCGCTAGGTTTAGTCTGAACCTGCACCCCTGCCTGGGAGCTGGGGGGAGGTGGCTGGGCTGAGCAAGGGCTTTCAGTCCTCAGACTCAGCATGGCTGCACCTGGTTTCTGGGTTCCCTTTACATTGTCCCTTACCCAGCCTGCTGCCAAAGAGTGAAGGACTCAAGTCTAGGCCCTGCGGGGCTCGGCAGGCCGGATGTCCCAACAGTACAGCAGGTGCTTTTGCCTGCCTGCCCAGAGCTCATTCCCAAGGCTGCATGCTTGTGGCCTCAGAATATGTTTGCTGGAACCTCCAGATGACAGCTGGGGGGAGAACTCAGCGGGCACAATCCGCCTGCCTGGCAAGCGCAATGCAAGGTCCGGAGTTAGATCCCCAGTACCACAAAAAAGTGGAATGTCCAGATGAGGCGTTGCTTTTCAGTGGACTGCTGGGGTCCATGGAACTACTTTTTGGGTGCAGCCCGGAGGTTCCTCATGACACAGGGGTGTTGGGTGTCCACCCGGGAATGAGCGAGTGTGGCCTGGCTGCTGTTCAGGCGGGCGTGCTGAGGAGACCTGGCCCAGCTGGCTGTGTATGCCTTGCCTTGCCCTTCAGGTGTGCCCGCAGGCGTGCACATGCGCTGTGGGGGGGCCGGGGTCCTGACTGAAAGGGGCCTCGCGCACGAGCTGCCTCCCAGCCCACTGCCTTGAAGCCCTGACTCAAAGGCACTTAGCTCTTTTTTCCTCCTTAACGGCACTGCAACTGAACCCAGGGCCTGCATATGGAGTCAGACCCCCAGCCCCTTGTAAGCCGTTTATAGAAACTGTTGGTGTCCCTGCCTCCCTCTCCCAGAGTGCTGGTATTACCTGTGTGCCCCACCAACCACAGAACAGCCAGCTAGCGTACCTCTTCAGAGGCAGACACAATTCAGCCAGTTTGATAATTCAACTTTTTTTTAGTGAAAAACCCTAACAAGTCCTGAATCAGACAAATTGCACAAAGGAAAAGAAAAGGAAACAAAATGCTTGTGGGTGAGGAAGAGTAGTCCAACAGGAAGTGGCTGGGCGAGGCTTGCAGAAACAGCCTGCCCCCGCCCAGGCCCGCTGGCCGGTCGGGGTTCCCACTCCAGCTCCAGGGCTGCTGAACAGGAAGAAGCGTCACGTCCCCCCGGCAGGTGGCTTGTCCTGCTAGCGGAGGCTGCTGCTGCTGCTGGCCTGGGAGCTGCCCATGCCCGGGTGGTCGGGGCTGTGTCTGCTCTGGGGAACAGGGCGGGTGCGTAAGAACCCTGAGAGCACCCCGGGAGACCCCGATGCCCCGGCGCCTGCTCCAGGGCCAGGCTGCAGGCACAGGCCGTCACCCTTCCCTACCTTCTTTTTCTTCTTCTCTTTCTTCTTCCTTTTGCGTTCCGGGTCTTCTTCTTTTTTCTTTTTCTTCTTCTTGTGATCTGAGTCTGACGGTGTTTCTGTAGGAGACAGGAAGACTGGTAGCCTCAGAGCTCAGGCTCCCCCACGCTGCCCAGGTCACCCACCCAGGAGCCCCCGACCTGGCACCCACTTCCTCTCTGGGGGAAGGCATGTGGCCCACGAACCATGCGTGCAGCCTGCTTACCAGGGGGCACCGGGTCCTGGGTGCGGCTCTGCTTGTGCTTGTGCTTGTTCTTCTTGGGAGGCTGGATGTGCATGAGGCGGCACTGCTCCGGCAGCTGCAGGGACACGGGCGGCTCAGGGGAGCAGAGCAGGAGCCTGGCTCCCACAGGTAGTGGTGTCTGCTCAGCATGCCAGGATGAGCTGGGAGGGGACAGGAAAGTCACGGTGTGCCCTCCTCCTCCCCACAGTGGGACTCACCGGGCCAGTGTGGAGCCGGAAGCCGGAAAGCATGGTCCCTGTGATGGGATTAAAGGAGCCACCCAGGATAGGGGGCTTCTCAATGAGGGAGCGGAGGCTGCTGTTGTCATGGGAACCGGGCAGGTCAATCATCCCTGGCAGGTCCGGCAGGAAGTTGCTCAGCTTCTCCTTGACCTTCTTACCGCAGAACTTGTTGTAGGCCTGCTCTAGGTTGTAGTGTGTGATCAGATTGGTGCTGCCCGTGAGCTCCGTGCTACCTGCAGGACACAAGGGCAGAAGTGGAGGCCAGTGCCCAGCAGAGAGATGAATCCTGGCCCCGGGACGGGCAAGGGCTGTGCTGCCACCTAAGTGCAGATGCTGTGGAGGTGAACTGACAATTTCGATCTCTGAAGTAAGAAACACAGCAAGAGTAAGTACATGTTAAGCAACCCTAATCTGAAAACTTAACATTGGAGAGAAAAGCTTGACATTCAAAAAGTTTTAGATTTTGGCTGGGTACAGTGTTTACCACCCCTGTAATCCCAGCTCAGCTATTCACGAGGCTGAGGCAAGAGGATATCAAGTTCAAGGCCAGCCTGTGCAACTTAGTGAAAGGCTATCTCAAAGAGAAAAGGTCTAGGTGTGTATCCCAGTGTTCTCTGGATTCAATCCTCAGTATTACCAGAAAGCAATCAATGAATTCGGATAATGGGCGTTTTGGGGCTGGGGTGGGAGACAGCTCAGTGGCACAAGTGCCTGACTGGCATGCACAAATTCGATCCTTGGTACAACCAAAAAAAAACGATAGTTTTTCAGATTTTTGGGTTAGGGTAAAATATGAAAATAGCCTGAAATCCAAAAGACTGTTGGTCCCAAGGGTTTTGGATAAGCACACTAGAGCTGTGATAACATAATAAACAAGAACAGCCAGCCAGAGTAACAACTACTCTACACTAAACTCTGTTCTGGGTGCTTTTTCAGAAAACGTAGAGTGAGGAGTTCTCTCCTCTGACTTCACCAAGATCATAGTACCGCCAGCGCAGCACGATGATTCAGAGTACTAGACAGTGTTTTGCTAAAAGTCCTGGGAAGTTGGAAAGGACTTTCTTTCTGTAGGTTTGTGCCTTTGGGGGTTAGAGGGGCATCTACATGGTCCTCCTCAGCCCTCTGCAATTTTTTTACCTTCACAGGGTTGCCTTTACAGGGTTTCCCTTACAGGGTTGCCCAGACAGGGCTCGAACCGTTGATCAGCCTTGCTGAGGTCCACTACAACCTCATCTGTCCTGAGGTCAGGCACAGATGAGAACATGGCCTGTGAGCCTCTGGAGGGCAGAGGCGGTGAACCTATGTCAGCACACCACACACACAAACCGCTGTCCGCTAAGCAGCCGCTTTCCTCTCTGTGCCCGCCTTCTTGCTGTTTGCTGTCTCGGGCAGGGCACACCCTGGAGGGCAGGGCCTCCTCATCTGGGTGTCCAATCTTCTCCGCTCCCGTAGGAAGGCACTTGGGTCTGCCTCTAAACCCTAAGAGTTTAACTTTCTAGGGCCGGCTAGATAGCTCAGCGGACTAAAGCGCCTCCTTAGGCAGAGTGCAGAGGCTGGGGTTCGATCCCTGGTATGCCATGCTGGCCCTAATGGTGACTGAGACTGGGCATGGTGGCACATGCCTATAATCCCAGCACATGGGAGGCTGAAAACAGGAGAACCACAAGTCCAGTCTGTGTAGTGAGACCCTGTAGATCCTGTACTAAATACATTAAAAAAAAAAAAAAATCTTTATCCTGAGTTTAACTTCCTGTTTTCACTGTTCTGTGAAGATGATGTATAAATCTTGCTCCCAGGTTCTGACTCTTCTCTTGAAAGCGTCTGACATCCCCAACTTCATCAATTTCACGCAGACTTGACGTTTTCTAGAAACTCCAGATCCTGCCCCACTGCTCACGGCATTTCTACCTCACAATCTCCTGGCGCTTTCACAGAGTACTCCTCAGCTCAGAAATCTCAAAGGCTTCCTGTGTGCCTCAGGGAGAAGCTCCAACTCCTGACTGGCCCCAAAGCCAGGCCATATTTTACTTCGGCTTCAGCTGTGCCACCTACACAACCCCTCTTCTGGGCAGAATTCCAGGTCCATCCAAATGGTGTCCTCGTCTCCTGGTGGGGTAGGGGGATTTCTAGTGTTTCACTTTAGGAAAATTCTATAAATTCTTACGGTCCTGTTCACGCAACACCTTATCCCTACTGTCATTTTGTGTAAGAACACATTTTGTAAATTTTTTTTTTTTTTGGCGGAACCAGGTATTGAATTCAGGCTCTTGTGCTTGTCAGGCAAGCACTTATTCTACTGAGCCATCTCCCCGGCCCCCACATTTTGTAAATTATCAGACAGTTTTGAAAATTGTTTGCTAGGATATTATTAACGGCTATATTCAAGATGTTTCCAACTGATGAGGCTGGCATTGACAAGAAACATAATTGCTATGCATAAACCATATTTTATATCCTTAAGTAAGTTTCTTTCAGAAGCAAGAACCAAGCCTGGAGTAGTGGTATGTGCCTCCAATCCCACAGTAGGGAGGCTGAGGCAGGAGACTGCAAATTTGAGTCCTGCTAGGACAATTTAGAGAGATATTTTTTCTAACTAAATAACAGGGCTAGGAATTTAGTTTAATCAAAGGATAGGCAGCCTTGTTACACCTCAGTCTTTTCTGACTTAAGATAGAGATATTGGGGTTTGATCCCCAGGCCTGCTGTGCCACCCCCAGGCGATTGTGACTGGATGTGGTGACACGTGCCTGTAATCCCAGCTCTTGGGAGGCTGTACACAGGAGAATCACTGAGTCTGATCTAGGTAGTAAGACTCTGTATACCCTGTAGACCCTGCCCTAAATACAGAAAAGATAAATAAAAAATAAAACGAGTACAGAGACTTAACATATTGAAAACAATCTGATTTTCACCCCCCTAAACTTCTTCATCTTCCCAATCTTAGGCTCCCATCCACCAGTTATTCAAGATCAAGTCTCACAAATCACCCTTAACAGGGCTGGAGAGATGGCTTAGTAGAATAAGCTCTTGCCTGGCAAGCGCAAAGACCTGAGCTCAATCCCCAGTTCCACCAAAAAAAAAAATCACCCTCAAGTCCTCCTCTCCCCTTCACTTAGATAGGAGCCCTCATTTCTGGAAGCTGACCTATCCCTGCATCCTATGCCCTTTCACAGCCACACCCTACTACAAACCATCACCTCTTCTTGGACTACTAAGCAGAAGCAATCTCTCACACATGTCCTCATTTTGTCCTCCTTGAGTAGCCACTTGAATAATTAAAAGTGAACACATCCGATCATTTCCCTCACACATCAACACTGCCAGCCTCTGAGGTTGGAACTCAATGGCTCCGCTGCCCCGCCAGGCCTGTGCGTCCCTGCTCTCGCTGTCTGTCCCACCACCCTTGCCTTCCTGCAGGATTTCCATTCCACAGACTCTCCAGGCTTTCTCTCCCCGCCACACTCCTGATAGCCAAGAGCATCTCTTCCTTCTGTCCATATGTTCCCAGTCACATTGGCCCACAACTGTGGCTCGGAAGTCCACTTTGAGAGTTCTGTGGTCACTCTAATGTCATTCTGTGCTCTCAATTTTTTTTGTCCTTGTGGTACTAACCACGATCTGATGCTCTCTTGCTTACACTTTATCTTCTCTGCTGAATCTTCAGAAGGTAAGGATCTTATCAATCTTGTTTACACTATAACTCCAGCGTTTGTTTTCCTTTTGTGCAATGGAGGTTGGAACCCACATCTTCACCCTGAGCTACATCTGCAGCCCTTCTCATAGTTTCTATTTTAAGATGGGGTCTCGCTAAATATCCTAAGTTGCTTGGGGTGGGCTTGAACTTCTTGCCTCAGCCTCCTCAGTGTTTTGTTTTGTTTTTTCTCAGTGTTGGAATTACAGATGTGCACCATCAGGTCCTTCTCCAAGTATTTTTTATTTATTTATTTATTTAATATTTTTTTAATTTTATTTATTGGTTTATTTATTTATTTTTTTTTTGTGTGTGTGTGTGTGTGTGGCCAGCTCAGCCCACCAGGGGGCGGGCTGGCTGGCATGTGGTGCTGGGGGATTGAACCGCGGTTCCTGTGCTTTGCTAAGCTTGTTCTAAGTAGGTGCTTTAGACCACTGAGCCATCTCACCAGCCCCCTCCCTGTGCTTTGCTAAGCTTGTTCTAAGTAGGTGCTTTAGACCACTGAGCCATCTCACCAGCCCCCTCCAAGTATTTTTTAAATAAAAAGCTGTGGTTCGATTTTTAACCCCAAGTTTGAACAGATAAATCCCCAATTCCCTGAACAGGCAACCTGCCCCAAGCCAACAAATTTGCAACAGATTAAAAACTAAGACTTTAGGTTGCAACTCAAACCCTGGATTTTTTTTTTTAAATGTATTTGGTCCACGGTCTCACTACCCAGCTCGGACTCGTAGTGATCCTCCTGTTTTCAGCCTCTCCAGCACTGGCCCAGTCTCCGTGGCCTGCTCAGAGAGCACCTAGGGGTGGGGCCAGTGAGGCATGTGTTGTTGTTTTAAGAAACCACGCGCGTCAGTGACAGGGCCTAAATCTAAAGGGAAAGACTGCCCTGGAGATGCCCCATCCACCCACTCCAATAGGTCCTACATTCTCCTCGTAGTATTAACCACTATCTGATGCTCTCTTGTTTACATTTTATCTCCTCTGCTGACTTATACACTTCAAAAGATAAGGATTTTACCAATTTTGTTTACACCATAACTTCAGCCAACCAAAGCTAACCCCTTGGTTGTGAATCCTAACAACCGTCTGACTTAGGGCAGCGCGTTACCTAGGTTACCTCGCACCTCCAGCCACAGACAGGTAGCCACGCCCAGCACCCCAGCTCTGATCTGATTGGCTGGCTTCCGGCCAGGCCTAGTACTCACCTGGTAGTTCCCTCATTAGGTAGAAGGGGCCACAGCCCGCCGCTGATTTGTCTGCGCCTGGGGGAGCCGTGGCTGCGGTAGGGGGAGCCGCCGTGCCGGGTCCCCCGCCCGGAGGAGGAGGCGGTGGGGGTGGAGGCTTTCCTGGTCCGAAGCTGAGTGCTGTTGGGGGCGGTGGTGGGTCAGCTTGAGCTCCGAACAGCGCGGTGAAATTCTCCATCGTCCACTCGGCCCGACACTACTCTTGTGTAGGATGCTAGTGATTTTCATTGGGCAGTCCTTTGCGTGGGCACCGCCCTGTTCCTATAGGGCCCTCCGGTGATTGGATACAGTGGGCCACGCCTATTCTCCTCGGGCGACTACTTCCGTCGCTCCCTGAGGACGTCCAGGAAGTGCTTGCTAACCTTATTAAATTGTCTCTCATAGGGGCTCGTCAAAGTTACTAGCCAATTAAATGACTTAGGTTAGAAAAGCGACGGCTAGGTGGGCCAATGAAGTCTTGGTCCCGCTTTCAGGGCGGACTCACGTAGCGTCCAATCAGAGGTCTACCTCCGGGCCCAAGGCGGGCCGTCGAGATTTGGCCCTGCGAGTCTCGCGCCGCGGGGGCGGGGCTAACCCTACTGAGCCGCGCAGCGGCGCCGCCGCGAGGCCCGAAGATGGCGGTCCTGGCGCCTCTGATTGCTCTGGTGTACTCAGTGCCGCGGCTGTCGCGATGGCTGGCCCGGCCTTACTGCCTGCTGTCGGCCCTGCTCTCCGCTGCCTTCCTACTCGTGAGGAAACTGCCGCCTCTCTGCAACGGCCTCCCCACCCAGCGCGAAGACGGCAACCCGTGCGACTTTGACTGGGTGAGCACCCTCTGTCTCCGCCGTCGGCGACCTTGACGTTCCCTGCGCGCAGGTGCGGCCGGGCCGGGCTGCGGCGACCTAGAGTGCAGGCCCCGCCGTCCTCGAGCCTTGGCTTGGGTGTTCCAAGAGAGAGAACACCGAGCGGGGCCGCAGCCCCCGCCCAGCACCTCGGCCATCTGGCCTTGAGCTCGTCTGTGCGCCTCTAGAATCAGCGCCCTCGGACCGAGCCGCATCCCCGGCCTTGTTAAAGGTCTCACCAAGCAGTCTTGTTTAGGATGGAACTTGAGATCCTCCTGCCTCAGCTTCCCAGAGTGCCGGGATGCCCACGCCCCGTGTAGTTCTGCTGGTTTCCACCTCACCCCTGTGCCCAGGGACAGCCCTGCCAAGCCGCACTTGCCCCGCACGGTACCGTGCCGCTCATTACGTAACGGCCGCCGGGAGCCGGGCGGCGAGGTTGGTGCCCCCCACCTTTAAGCACAGTAGCTGCACACTGTCTTAATTCCTTACTCCTTTCTAGAGTCCACATTCTTTTCTAACCACTGTGCAGGACCCTGGGCATGCAAAGCTGAATCACAAGTTGAGACAGTTTGAAAAAAGAAAAAAGCTAAAAACACATTGTAAAAGCCACCCTGTGCAGCTTGGCGGCTCAGGCCTAGAATCCCGACTACTGCAGGGTCTGAGGCAATAAGACCCCAAGTTCAAGGGCAGCCTCGGCAACTTGGTGTGACTCTACCTTAAAGTAAAAAATAAGCAGGGCTGGGGCTGTAGCTCAGTGATCGCTGGAGAGCTGTGGGTTCAGTCCCCACGGCCAGAAAGAAAGGTCAGTCTGAGAACAAGCCACTTCCTTGGCAGGAGTGTGGGGAGCCTGCATGGGAGAGTTCTCTACAGCTGCTTTCCCAGCGCCCAGAGCGAGCCTGGACGCCTCCCAGAACCCACCCCCTTCACTTTTCCTGCCTGCTTGCTTGCTTCTCTCTTGCCACCTCTGCCCTTTTCCAGACAGTATTATTTGTTAGCTTGAAAGTAGCAGCTCCTTGGTCACAGTAAAGGACATGGACTCAAAAGCATGCATATATAAATGTAGGAGACCTTTTACAGAGTTAATGCACTTCTCCTCCAGCAGTTTGGATGGGGTTCTTGGCCTGTGTATGCCAAGCACATGCTTTAGATGTGTGATCCCCCTGCTTCAGCCTCCTGAGTGGAAGAAGCTGTTTTTTTTGCCTCACTGTGGAAGGTCTTGGCCCTGGAGCCTCCAGCTGGTGGCCAAGCAGCCTCTCAGGAGGCAGCATGAGGCCAGGTCACTCAACCTATACCAGGAAGCAAGAGCAAGAAGGGGCCAGTGTCCTACAGGGCACCTCAAGGACCTGCTGCCTGCCTACCAGGCCGCACTTCCTGGCACCACCTTGGAGACCTAGCCACCAACAAAGGGCGTTCAGGACCCAAGTTCTGTGCCAAGCACAGTGGTGTGTGCCTGTTGTTCCAGGTACAGGGGAGGCCAAAGCAGGGGGATCTCTTGAGCCCAACCAGTAGTTCAAAGGCCACCCTGGGTAACATAGTAAAACCCTGCCTCAAACATAAACAGCTCTTGAACGGCTGAGGCTTGAGGATCAAGAGTTCAGGGTCTACCTGGGTGCAGAGCGAGACAATCTCAAAAATCCAAATCCGAACCATGAGTTGGGTGTGGTGGTGCACACCTGAAACCCCAACACTTGGGAGACTGAGACAGGAAGGCCTCCAAGTTTGAGGCCAGCCTGAAACGTCTCAGTGTTGTCCCAGGCCAGGGCCCCCACCACACATTAGCAGCTGCAGAAAGCTGGTGGGATGGGATGTTGGGCGCTGTGCACTCTGCATACGGCAGCGCCCAGGGAGTGGTGGCTGGGGCTCGTCTCCCTGTGGCCTTTTGGGAGGACCCGAACTACTGGTCCATGCTTCAAGATGATGCCGAGGCCTGCACTTGGCCTCTTGATTGACCATGGTGCATTCTCTTTCTGTGCTGAGGACTGGACCCACTGGACCCAGAACTTCACCCAGGGCCCATGCTCTGCTGTTGAGAAGCACCCCAGCCTTTACTTCAGTCAGTTGTTTTCCCTCCCATTTTGCATGTCTTTGTATTGCAGATTGAAACTTAAATTCTGGTTTTTCCCTGAAATAAGTGTTACGCCCCCCCCAGTATTATAAACAGAAGGATATGAAAGAGACTGCATGTGGTGTCGCCTGCCTGTAATCCCAGTGCTTGGGAGGCTGAAAGCAGGAGGATCACTGAGTCCAATCTATGTAGTGAGACCCTATAAACCATGTACCAAATATATTATTTAAAAAAAAATTAAGGTCTGAATTATAGGTCACTCTGGAGTCCCTGGGTTCAATCCCTAGTATCAGAAAATAATTGAAGAAAGGAAGGAAGGGAGGATAGGTCAGGCCTTAGACAACCCAGTCTGTTTTCTGCTCCATGCTTTTTTTCGGATAGTCTTTTTTTTTTTTTTATTTATTTATTTATTTATTTATTTATATTTTTTTGTGTGTGTGGCCAGCTCAGCCCACCAGGGGGCGGGGCTGGCTGGCATGTGGTGCTGGGGGATTGAACCAAGGTCCCTGTGCTTTGCTAAGCTTAGCTTGTTCTAAGTAGATGCTTTAGACCACTGAGCCATCTCACCAGCCCCTTGGATGGTCTTTAGTCTTGCAGCTTTTACTCTTTAAAATCATTGCTTGGGTCTTTGTTTATGGTCTGGCTTGTAGGAGAGAACTGTGTTAGCCAAGGGCTGAAATGCTCTTCCTGCCCTTTTCCTGCCCCCACCCCTTCAGTGCTCACAGAGTTCTAAAAGCCTGTGCAGTGTTACTCTTCAGTACTGGGTGGAAGAAAAGATTTCATTTAAGCAGACCCAAACATTTGGAATATCCAGAGCCTGGTTTGGTTTTATTTTGTTTTGTTTTGTTTTTAGAGATGGGGTTTTCCTTTGCAGTTCTGGTTGACCTTAACTTGTTAGCTTCTTGTGTTACAGGCATTAGAAACTGTTAATAGGAAGTAGAGCACAGTTACAAACACAGCACTCTAGGCTGAGGCAGGAGGATTGCAAATTTGAGCCCACGGGTGGGCTACATAGTGAAACCCTGTCTCAAAAAAAACCAAAACTTGGGAGGTTGAGGCAGGAGGGTCACTATGAATTTGAGGCCAGCCTGGGATACACAGTGATTTCAAAGTCAGCCAGAACTACACAGTGAGACCCTGTCTCAAAACAAAACAAAAAAACTACCCAGAACCGGCGTGGTGGCATGTGACTGTAATCCCAGCCCTCAGGACTGCCTTGAGTGTGAGGCCAGCCAGGGCTACATAGTGAGGTGAAGGCCAGCTTGACCTATACCCTGTCTCAAAAAGAATAAAAACCAAACAAACCCCTCCAGGCTGAGGGGTGAACTTAGCTCTTGTGACTGGTGCCTTTCCACTTAAGTCAGCTGGCAGTGGGTTGCTGGTTTTCACTTTGCATTTAGCCTTTTGAGCCAGGGTCTCTTGTGGAGTCCAGACTGGCTTTGAGCTCACGTCGGCCCTTGGCCTCCCCGGTGTCCAGTGCCCACCGGCTCTGCTCCGGGGAGGAGTTACACAGCTCTTCCCCCACTCTCGTTGCAGCGCGAAGTGGAGATCCTGATGTTCCTCAGTGCCATCGTGATGATGAAGAACCGCAGGTCCAGTGAGTGCAGCCCAGCTGGGTGGCGGGCAGCCGCTGGGCCCTCCTGCCCGGCTCAGGAGGCCATGCCAGGGCCCAATCTGACCTTCCCACTGTGCCTTCCCCTTCCCCATTTCCCAGGCCTGGGGGGAGGGGGAGGGAGGAGCTGCTGGCCAGGCTGACTGCCATCCTGTGTCTCAGTCACTGTGGAGCAGCACGTGGGCAACATCTTCATGTTCAGCAAGGTGGCCAACGCCATCCTGTTTTTCCGCCTGGACATCCGCATGGGGCTGCTGTATCTCACGCTGTGCATAGGTGAGGGCTGGGTCGCTGGGGACAGACCCCACGCTGACTTTCTTCTTCCCTATGTGCTGTGCTGGCCCCTGTTGAGATCAGAGTAGTTCAGGGGATGAGAACCCAGCTGGGCTGTGTTAGGAAAGGAAGTGCCACTGGGCTGTGCTCTGCTGGAACGAGGCAGGAGGGTCTCAAGTCCAGCCCCAGCCGGGGCAACTTGGTGAGATCCTGTCTCAAAGCAAGCAATAAAAAGGGCGTGGCTCACTGTGAAGGTGCAGGGTTGCTCCCCAGGGCGGGAGGGGCGGAGAGGAAGGGACAGTGGGTGTTCTGCGTGTCCCTGGGAATGCCTCTCGGGGCCCACGCCTCCTGTCCGTGGAAAGTGAGTCCCCAGTCTGTACCCTGCGAGCATATCCCCACACTGTGCTCCATACCCAGTGTTCCTGATGACCTGCAAGCCCCCGCTGTACATGGGTCCCGAGTACATCAAGTACTTCAGCGACAAGACCATCGCTGTGAGTCCCCTGTTGCCTGGGGCCCTGGGGTGAGGGCGAGGCCAGCTGCGGAGTCCAGCTCACCTGCCTCTTCCTGCGGCAGGAGGAGCTGGAGCGGGACAGGGGCGTCGCATGGCTCGTGGAGTTCTTTGCTAATTGGTCCAGTGACTGCCAGTCATTTGCTCCCATCTACGCCGACCTCTCCCTCAGGTGAGCAGGAGCAGGGGCCTGCGCCGAGCTTGGCTGCCTGTTGCCCTTCCCCCGAATGCCTGCCTCTCTGCGCACCCCCTCTTGTTCTGTGGGTGCTAAATGACCTGTTCTCCTAGGTACAACTGCTCAGGGCTGAACTTCGGGAAGGTGGACGTGGGGCGCTACACTGATGTCAGCACGCGGTAGGCAGTCCCCGCGCGCGGGGCACGGGAGCCCTCTGGGGGGCGCACAGCGCACTGAGCCCCTCCCCACTGGCCCTGCAGGTACAGAGTGAGCACGTCGCCCCTCACCAAGCAGCTCCCCACGCTCATCTTGTTTCAAGGCGGCAGGGAGGTCATGCGGCGGCCACAGATTGATAAAAAAGGGCGCGCCGTCTCCTGGACCTTCTCTGAGGTGCTGAGAGGGCATCGTGAGAAGGGTGCGGGGCAGGGCAGGCTCATCTGATCTAAAGCCGGGTGCGACTCCAGCTCCGGGCCCTGCCAGGGCTGTGAGCGCTTAGACCGGCACTGGCCTCAGTAGCTGTCAGGGGCTGGTCAGCGAGTGGGGCAGAGCCGGCCTGGCACCCAGGACTGCCCTTCACCAGCACGGAGGTGAAGTCTACTTTGCTAAATCAGAGCCAAGTTACAGCAGGGCAGATTTCGGGCCTCGCTTTCTCCCTCGGCCCTAGCATGTGTCTCAATGCTTTCTACTCTGCTGGCCGTGCTCGGTAGGGTGACCCAGCACCCTAGGGGCCGTGGCAGGAGAACTAGTTTGGACTTCAGCCCGGGCAGCTTCGCTATCAGGGCCCCAGTCTCCAAACCAGAGACTAAATAGAGGCTAGGGATGGAAGTCAGTGCGAGGTGTTGATCTCCAGTGCTTCAAAGCAAAACAAAACCCGTACTTTGTGGCCTCTGAACTTCCTGCCATGTTCTCTGGTGCAGGAGAACGTGATCCGCGAATTCAACCTGAATGAACTGTACCAGCGGGCCAAGAAGCTGTCCAAGGCTGCGGACAGCGTTCCCGAGGAGCAGCCAGTGGGCCCGGCAGCGGAAGACAAGAAAGTCAAATAGGGTCCCCCGGGCCGTCCTGTCCCTGAGGGCCCTGCACCCTCCTAACAGACCCGAGCCGGCCGCCTCCTCGCCCAGTGGGCTGCGCATGTATGGGCAGGGGCACCTCGGACCCCGCCGGAGGGGGACGGTGGCCGGCCGCATCAGCTGCTGTGCCCTTGGTGGAGCAGCCTGGGGTCTTCTCACTCCTCGCCAAGCTGCGCGGCAGAGGCAGTGTCGGGCCGGAGACCCCTCCAGACCCTGGCTCACAGTGGCTCTCCTGCCGGGAGCTGTTCGTGTGAAGTACACGTCTAATAATATAGAGTAGAAGCGGTCCCCGCCCCTGGGCCTGGGAGGAGCCTGGGGCCGCGCCGAGAAGCCGGTGCTTAGTGATGGATGGGCGGCAGGGGGGACCCATGTTCTGGAATAAAAAGATCTGCTCCCTTTTCAGTGCGCTTGTGTTTCTCTGGCCGCAAAGCCGGGTGCCTGCCCGCAGCAGATGCTGCGCTTTGCGTTCCTCTGTGGCCCTCCGCGCTCTGCGCCGGGCCCGCCCGCGGAAGGCTGTGGTCCCACCCCGGAAGCTGGGCCCGTCCCCCGAGCTCCGTGGTTTCGCCCCCGGAAGTATGGCCCCGCCCTGGCCGACGGGATCCCTGCGGACCCCGCGGTGCGCTTCCGGTCGCGCTCGGCGTGGTCGCTCGAGCCGCGCGGTGTCTGCCATGGCGCCTCGCGGGAGGAAGCGCAAGGCCGAGGCCACGGAGGTCTGCCCTGCAGGGAAGCGGGGGGAGCCGGCGGACGGCGGGACGGAGGCCCAGGTGGTCATCGAACACTGGTGAGGCTCGCGGGCGGCGAGGGTGCCGGCGCGTCCGTGTCCCTGCCCGCGGGCCCGGACTCCCGGCTCTGATTTCGGCCTTGTCCCCGCAGCACCAGCTGACGCGTGTACGCGCGCCAGGCCGCGGCGCTGAGCCAGGCGCTACGCGTGGCGGCCCCGCAGCTGGCGGTGGCACTCAACCCGGTGCGGCCGCGGAGGGGAAGCTTTGAGGTGACGCTGCGGCGCGCGGACGGCAGCGGTGAGGGGTCCGGGCCGACGGGGCAGGCCGGGGCGGGCCGGGGTCCCGGGGTCCCGGGGTCCCGGGAACCGTCTCACTCGGCCCTTCGCAGATGCTCAGCTCTGGACTGGAATTAAGAAGGGACCACCACGCAAACTCAAGTTCCCGGAGCCGCAGGCCGTGGTGGAGGAGCTGAAAAGGCATCTTGCATAGGAGTTCGGGCGGAAAGCCCAGCTGAGGTTCGCGGGGAGAGCGTTTCCCTGGGCGGGAACCCCACGCGGGAGCTGAAAACGAGCTGCCCTGCCCTGCCCTGCCCTGCCCTGCCCTGCCCTGCCCTGCCCTGCCCTGCCCTGCCCTGCCCTGCCCTGCCCTGCGCGGTGCGGCTCTGCGGGGCGCTGCTGGCGTGAGCTCCACCCCTGGCCTTTGACTTTTCAACTTAAAGCTGGGTCTCAAAGCTTCAGGTGCCCCGAGGGTCCCATGACTTCCGGCGGGGTTACTGACGGTTTGAGGCTTTCAGAATAGGCTGGTGTTCTTTGTTACCCTGGGGGTTTGGTCCAGTTTTGCATTTATTTAAACGTTCATTTCTGCTTTCCTGGTGGCTTTCAACTGCGGGATCTACTTCTAAAATTTTACTAAGATAAGCAAATACATAGACTAGTCTTTACTATGTATTTGGTATGAGTTAGTGCTTTTTCTGATTTTCTGGCAGAGGCTGTCCCGTTTCTGCTCTGTACCTCCCCCTCCACTCTTTAGGGTTCTATTCTTAATGTTCTTGAGCGTTTTTTAGCAGAGTGGGCTGGGCTAGCCTTGTACTCACTGCTGTGATGGCGACCCTCCTGCCTCCGCCTGGAAGGGCTGCTCCTGTTAATAGGCTCCTGCACTAAGTCGCGTCACCACTGGCTACCAAGGTTCTTTGTCCACTTACAACGCTGACAACCCGGCTGGGGAGTGAGCTGTGGAGCTGGGGTGGACGTTCAGCTCTTGGGTTTGTGGGCTTGCGGTGACATGGGGACAGATCTTCCCGGGTCCTTGTGAGCACCCGCACCTTCCCTAATCTCCCCTTTTGTTTTTGCAGCGTTTCTGTTCTGATGCTGTCGGGGCGTCTGTGACGGGACATGGCCCAACTTCAGCCATGGACCTGAAGCCATGGTCTCTGGCACCGCAGAAACCAGCGCTCGCCTGAGACAGCCCACACAAAGGGTTGTAAACTGTTTGGATTTGGTTTGTTTAATAAAAGGTGAAATGTAGTACCTGGATGAGAGTAAAAAATTACACTTGGGGATGGATGAGGTTAGTGAGCCTTTTATTTTTTCGTAGTTCAAGATCTCCATTTGTCTGAAAATTCATAGGGCCTCTGGTGAAGCATGTGAAATACTTGCAAAAACTAAGGAGCAAAGGAAATTATTTTAAAAAGCAACTGTACCTTTTCCGGCTCACTTCTTGTGGAATGATGACAAGCGATCTTCCCAGCCCCGTGGTGAGCTGTCAGCTAGACTTTCCTGGCAGGCACTAGAGTCCAGTAAGCAGGCAGGTGCTGGGTGTCTATCCATCCTACACACCGGATGCCCTTAAGGTAGCCAAGGGAGCCCTGCCCCTGGGAGGGTACTCTTCCAGCTCCTTCCCTTTGCTGGGCTAGAGGTCCCCTAACTGCTGGTACGAATAACCCATTAGAGTTGACAGTTTTACTACTCATAACTGGAAAACAGGTTACAAAGTTTTCTGCTCTTCCACCTGGCTCCCAAGGCCCTGGTTGGGGGGGGGCCTCAAGAGCCCTGGCAGTGAGGTAGCTGGTGAGGCAGCCTGTGCTGGAAGGTGGTGACCATGTGCCCAGAGGGGCCTTGCTGTCCAGTGCTTACCACCCACCCACTTCTGACCTACGTGAGGACATCCACCTCTGCTTCTGACTCTGAGGAAGGGTCAGGCCACACTGAGGGGATGCCAGAGGGTACCAGCCTGGCCTCTGCCGTCCAGCCCACCACGTCAACCTCCTCATCTTCAGAGTTAGCCATGGGTGGGCCAGGCCCTGTCCCAGGAGCAGGGCACAGCTCCTCGTGCATGGCTGGACTCATGTCCAGCCCTTCCACTGCCCAGCTGGAGCCTGGTGTCAAGGGGTTTCCGGGGGAGCTGGTGTGACCATCCAGCGGCTCAGAGACAGTGAGTTCAAGGTCTTGAGTCCAAGGGCTGCCCTCTGGAAGTGCCTCGCCCCGCCTCCCCTCAGGGGGTACAGCCAGGGTACCGGGTGGCTCTTTGCTCTCACCAGTAGGCTCCTGTTCCAGCCCTACCAGCTCTCTGGACCACAGCCCCAGATCTGGCAGGCACCAGTCCTCCGCTTCCATCCAGTGCTCTCCTGCTCCTGTCAGGTGGTAACTTGGGGTTCTGCAGCCCTCCGCCCCGGGGCTCTCTGGGGACCTGACAGGTGGTCCTATGCCTGAGTTGCACAGCACCAAGTCCAGGATGTCCTCCAGCTCGCTGGTGGCCATGGAGCTTGAGGCCCCATCACAGTGCCGCCCGTGCAGGGTTCCCCCAAAGGCACAGAGCTTGGGGTCCCCGCTCAGCGTGGGCTCTTTCTTAAGTGGCTTGGGGCTGGCCCCAAGCATCCTCCCTGCCCCAAGCTGTGCTGGGGAGTGGCCAGCGGCCAGCATGACATCCAGTGCCCCGGCACCCTCTGGAGAGTCTTGATAAAGCTCCATCCTGGTAGGTGATACCTGCTGCTCTCTGACTGGGGACTGCTGTATGTCTCCGGGTGCTGAGGTCTGGGGGTTCTCTGAGGGGTTGCCGAGGACCAGGGGCGGCTCCTGTACCACCTCCCAGCAGGTGCCATTGACCACTTTGCGCAGCTTCACCCTGCCAATCTGCCCCTCCTCCGTGGAGTCTGGGCCGGGGGCCGAGGCCTCAGGGCTCCGCTTCTTGTTCCCACCTGGCCTGCCAGGCCCAGAGGGGGCGGGGGAGCCCTGCAAAGGACTGGCTCTGCCTGGATTCTGCCTGTCCTCTGCGGCTTCTCTGTTCAGCCGCCGCCGCCACAGCCTCCGGCCAGGAGCAGCAGGTGCTGTGCTGGGTCCACTTGGTATGCCAGGAGCCCCAGACACATGGCCACTGGGAGGTGGCTTGGAGCGGCTCAGCCGGATCTTCCTGCGCAGCAGCTGCTGGTCCCCAGGAGCGGATAGGCTTGGTGGGGCTGGAGCTACAGGCCTGAGCCCAGGGTCCCGCTTGTCAGCCCCAGGCTGCTGACCATACCCTGCCAAGCTAGCTCCCTGAGGAACCTGGCAGGCCCTGGCCTTTCCTGAGAGCAGCGGTGTGCCAGGGACACACTCCGCGCGGGGCCGGGTGCCCTCTTCCAGGGGACCTGCTTCTCTCCCTGGATGAACTGACCTTGCCGCCCTGGGGGGACCGGGAGGCTGTGTCACTGGCCCTGGCCTTTGAGGGTGGCAGCTAGGGGCCAGCACCACGCTGGAGGGGGGCACAGGGCTGGGCTGCAGGCACTCGCGGTTCAGCCTGCGGCCTGGGGCCGTCTTTACCAGCTTCCCTCCCTCCAGCTGCAGAGACTCCAGCTCGCAAACACGGAGCTGGCGGGCTGCGGACAGTACGTCCTGAGCTTCTTCCCGGGACACCTCCATCTCTGATGTGTACAGGAAGTCCACCAGCTTCCGCAGGGTCCTGATCTTCAGGCCACCCAGCTCCAGGACCACCTTTTGACCCGGTGCTGGGCTCTCCTGCTCTAGGCGCTCCGTGAAGAAGGGGCTGCAGGCTGACAGGACACAGCAGTGCGCTGGGACAGCCTCGCCTAGGGGAAAGCCACATACTTGTGTCATGCCCATAATCTGGCATGTGGAGTGAGCCAGGAGCACCCCCCCAGGGTGCTGGCCTTCCTGCTCCTCACCACAGAAGCACAAAGGAGAAATCTCCATGACCTAGGACCTCCCACCACTCTCTTTGGCTCAGTTTGTTCTCTTATCCCAGAACCCAGCTCCACCCTGGCTCCAGAAAGCCCCATCCAGCCCAAGGCTAGGGGAGTGGGACTGTGAGGCCCTCCACAGCTCCAGGGCCTTTCCTGCCCGTCCACTTCTACAGTACATCCATGCAGTGCTTGCCATGGAGCAGGGCGTTGGGTACTTGCTTGGGACATTCTTTTTTAAAATTTATTTTTTTTATTTATTACATTTATTTATTGTGTGTGTGTGTGTGTGTGTGTGTGTGGCCAGCTCAGCCCACCAGGGGGCGGGCTGGCTGGCATGTGGTGCTGGAGGATCGAACCGAGGTCCCTGTGCTTTGCCAAGCTTGTTTCAAGTAGGTGCTTTAGACCACTGAGCCATCTCTCCAGCCCCTGCTTGGGACATTCTTATCAACTCATCTAAGAATTCAAAATTGGTCACAGCAGAAGCTTGGGATCTAATGAAAAGCCACCTCCGTGGAGCCTGAGCTTTACACTGCCTGCTCTGGGCCACCTCCGTACCTCATGGATACCTCGGGCTGACCATACTGTGAGGATCACAGCCTCACAGATGGTCCCCCAATCCAGGCCAGTACTTCACAGGTTGAGGTAGGAGTTCAGAGTTTGAAGCTAGCCTGGGCTACAGTCAGTCCAAGACTAGCCTGGACTACACAGAAGACCAGGTCTTGATAAAAACAAAAAAGCTACAGATTAAAGCAACTGTAGATTAAAGCGCCTGCTTAGGCAGATGCAGGGACTTGGGTTTGATCCCCAGAGTGCCATGCCAGCCCCACCTCTGGGACCAGCTGAGACAGGGAGTGAGCCTGGGCATGGTGGTGCACACCTGTAATCCCAGCGCTTGTGAGGCTGAAAACAGGAGAATCACAAGGAGTCTGATGTGTGTAATAAGACCGTGTACTAAAAAAAAGCTGGGCCTGCCAGGCCTGTAATCCGGTACTGAGGAGGCTGAGCCTGGAGGAAAGCCAAGAGTTCAAGGCCAGCCTGGGCTACATAGCAAGAACCTATCTCAAAAAACCAAAATAAACAAAAAAATGAATTCTTCATACCATTCCGCCAAACCTGCCCTATGTTCTAGACTCAGAGTAAGGCAGTACATTTATTCAGCTGTCCAAGCCTGAGACCCAGAAGTTGCCCGAGTCATCTTCTTTCCTTTACTACCACATCTAATGTCTTTTATAAGACTGTATTTAATTTATTTATTCTGTAGAACCAGGGATTGAACTCAGGCCCTTGCACTTGCCAGGCAAGTGCTTATTCTACTGCGCCATCTCCCCGGCTCCTGTAAGACTGTATTGTAGGCACTGTTCTAAAGGTTTCACCCGTACTGATCCAGTCACTCTTCACTGCAATCCTGTGAAGCAGCTACTAGTACTATAGGGGAGCAAACAGACAGAGCTGAGTAACGGCTGGCCACGGTTAGTAAGAAGCAAGTGTATGAGGTTTTTTTTTTTAAAGTTCAGAAGGATGTGTCCTTTTTTTTTGGCGGGCTCAGGATGCTGGTAAAGGCATGAAGATCTGGGGATGACCCACAGAATCCTGAGCCTGGCTGCTTTGCTTAAGCAGGCACTTAAACAACTGAGCTAATGGGCAGGCCCCCAGGTGTGTGAGATTAGAAATGCCTCTGCTTTCAGTCACTCCTGCAAATTTTATAAATTCTCTTCAAAAGGCCAAACATTTTTCTCTACTCCCAGTGACTCAGTTCTAGCCACCATCCCCTTTGTCCTGGATTATAAACCATGTCCTTTTCGGGCCTTGTGACCACGCAGTTATTATTAACCCGAATATTTCTGAGTAGGAATCTGACCGGGAACTCCAGCTCAGGACACCTCTGTAGTTTGCTGCTGTCCCGAGAACAACTGCCTCCGGAGGCTCAAGCTCCCTGCGTGCCAGCTCCTCCAGCCCTCACTGGACTGGCCGACACACCTTCCTCCTACTGTGTTCCAGCCATAGTAGATTACTCATATGCCTGGGAGTATAATTCTGCATCCCTGTAGGTACCTTTGTCTTGCTTTGGAGAGATCTTTCCTACTTTGCAACCATAAAGAGTTACCTCCTGCAAGAAAGGTTCCTGCACCTTTCCCTAGCTGCCTCAGGTGTTTGAAGGGTGCTCCTCTGTGACCCTCTTTCAGCCTGTATCTTCCTACCAATTACTTTTGTCTTTTTGAGACAGGGTTTCGCCATGCAGTTCAAGCTGGCCTTCAACTTATTTTGCAGCCCAGGCTGGCCTTGAACTTTCAGCAATCTGCCGGCCCCAGCCTCCTGAGTGCTGGGATCACAGGCGTGCGCCACCATGCCTAATGAATTTTGTGTTTGAGTGCAAAAACCGAATCTAAACTGCATACTTTACCAAGAGCACTGACAGATAACTGGTTGAACTGGAGGCCTCCAATCATCTCTAGGACTAGAACCATGTAATGCTACTTACCTCCCACAGCTGTGAGATTCAAAATGAGTCACTACATGGTACAGACTCTGCAAACTGTAGGGTACTACAGGATGTCACGATCCTGCTTTTGGTTTTGGTACTGGGAATGGGACTCATGACCTTGCACTTGCCAGACAGGTACTGCACCCCTGAGTCCTAGCCCTGGCCCATGCAGTTCAAGCAGCAATGAACCCACTGTGTAGCTCAGGGTGCCAACTCGGCATTTCTCCTGCCTCAGCTTCCTGGAATGCTAGAATGACGGGCATGTGCCACCATGCCAGGCCACAATCTTTTCATTACAGATGAAGACACTGAACTCCACACAGAGGAAGTGACTTGCTTGCTTGACAGTTACTAGGTAACAAAATTGAAAGTAAGTCCAGGGCTTCTGACTACTAATTTTGACTCTTGTACATTATACGAAGATCTACTTCATGCTGATTTAACATTTTTATGTGGCAAGAAAGGGTAGAAATAAGTGATACATTTTTCTGCCCCACCAACAAACAATAAGAATCACCCATTTAGAGATTAAAAAAAAATATTAAGCAACACTTTGGAAAGAAAATGGGGAAAAAGCTGTCATCTAACGTGTATTGTGGTTAGTACATTAAAAACATTTTTTACAAAAGCATTGTTCTAAGTGTCTAACATATGCTAATCTGGGTCGGGGAGATAGCTCAGTAGAATAAGCGCTTCCATGGCAAGTGCAAGGGTCTGAGTTCAATCCCCAGTACCACAAAAAAAAAAAAAAAAAAACCAACAACTAAACATATGCTAACCTAATCTTTACATCCGTCCCATTAGGATATCATATTGTAGGCTGGGGAGATAGCTGGGTATAATAAGCACCTGCCTGGCAAGCACAGGGTCCTCAGTTCAATCCCCCGTACCACAAAAAAAATAAATAAATAAAAATCACATTTTAGAGAATTTCTATGCTCACAGTATTTTACAATGAATTTCATTTTAAAAAAAGTAACGCCGGGCCTAATGTGCAAAACCTGCCCCACCAACAAACAATATTACTAGCATTCAGAAGGCTGAGGCAGGAGGATTAAGTTTGAGCCAGTCTGAATGACATAGCAAGTTCAAGTCCAGCTTGGAGCACACTTAGTGAGACCTTGTCTCAAAAAAAAAAAAAAAAAAAGAAAAAAAAAAAGGAAGAAAAATATATAACTGAAGCATAGCTGCAGTTTCACTCTTGAAAACAGTAACTGTCCCAGAAGCAAACAGCTCTTTACCAAATAGTTTACAGTACCGAGGGGTAATAACAATCTTCCACTTTTGCCCTAAACGCGTTCCATCTGATGTGGTGGGTTTTGGTGGAGTCCGGCCAGCTCTTACCTTCAGCCCGCAGCAGGACGTCACAGAACACGCCACTCTGCTGCTGATGGTGAAGCTGCAGAAAGGCCAAGTGCAAGAAGCGGGGGTTCCGGTAGAGGATTTTGGAGCTGGCAGGAGAGCACATGTTGGGAATCTCTGAAGACGCAGTCTCGTTTTCCACAGGTCAGATTTCTGCAGGAGAAATCATACATTTCAGAGGCATAGTTAGTTATGCTTTATTTTTGTCTTTGAAATAGGGAAATTCAGAAAGTGATAGGATGCGTTGAAGAAACAGTGTGGAACTTGTGCCAAGTCTCTCAAAAGCAACTCCAGTAGAAATTACACGTGGGAAAAGTAAGCCTGGATTTGAATCCAAAATGGGGGGGGTGCTGTTGTCTTCGTACTGGGGACTGAACCCAGGGTTTCTGTGCTGCACCCTATCACCAGCCCTTTTACATTATGAGACAGGATCTCACTAATTTGATAAGTTGCCCAGGGTGCCAATTTCTTGTCTCCTGTGTCAGACCCACAAAATGCTGGAATGACAGGCATGTGTCACCACCAGGCTTGACTTCAAGGCTGTCGGCCTGGCTGTATAACAGTAGATGTGACCTACTGTCTTTGAGTTTCACTTTCCTTATCCATGAAATAGGAATAATAACAGGGCTTACCTGCTAGGGATGTTGTAAAACTGAAGCGAGCTAATATGGGTAAGACTGCTTAGCGCAGCGCGGGCCTGGCTTAAGTAAATACCATTCCCTGAATGGTAGCTGTTCTTATCATGCACTCTTTCTTACTCACACTACCGCTGCTTCGACTTCCCAGCACTTCTTGTGTGTGGCGCTGGAAACTGGACTCGGGGCCTCAGGCATGCTAGGCAAGTGCTCTGCGACAGTGCTGTGGCCCAGCCCACTATTTGAGACTTTCAAGGCCACGGTACTGGGACTCACACTCTTCACTGAGCTTAGCCCACACTAACCAGCAGAGGGTGCACGTGAAGAAACAGAAGACAACAGAGATGAGGACACTGTCCCCTCGGCTCAAATGTTCCTGAGCAAACCCTGCCCGACTGACCCTAAGTGGCAAAAAATGTGCCTTTGCTGTCTGTCTGCCTGGTTAATCACCCGACTAACAGTGAAGGCAGGCCTGGCAAGCCCGGTACTAACAGAACACTGGACAGCCCGACATTGGACCTATGGCGTTCCCGGAGCCTGAGCACCAAAGCCCACGCTCACGGGACGGCTGCGTGCACTCCTCTCCTGGCGTGGAGGCCTCCATCAGGTGGCACTTAGGGCCTGAACAGATCCTGCCAACAGGGTCAGGAGGTAAAAGGGCAGAAAGATAAATACAAAATTTTTAGGACAGGCTCAAGCCAAGCATGGCGGTGGTGCACACCTGTAATGCCAGCACCTGGGAGGCTGAAGCAGGAGGATCGCCGCAAGTTTGAGACCAGCCCAAACTACACTGTGAGATTCTGTCTCAAAATAGGGCAGGCTCAATGCTGACGCCCGCCAAGCCTCGGGTGTGCGGGGAGCCGTGCAGGGCTGCAGCCAAGTGGCCGCCCGGCCGCGCCGCAGACCCCACCTGGAACCGCTCTGCAGCGGCTGCACCCCGCCGTCCTCCTGAGTGGGGGCTCCGACCCGCCCGGCTCTGCCCCAGGCCCTGCGGCAGCGTCGACCCCAGAGCCCCGGCCCGGCGGCGGCGGGAAGCGACGTCGGGCGCACGCTCGCGCGCGGGCTGCCGGGAAGGCGGTCGAGGCCGGACACGCGCGCCCTCCAGCCGTGGCAGCCGCCCCGCGGGCCGCGCCGTCCCTTCCGGCGCCCTCGGTCAGCGCGGGCCTCAGCCAGCACTGCCCTCGCGGCCCCAGCCACACCTCTCGCTGCGCCTGCCACAGAGTGCGTCGCGGGCCGGCGGTCCTCCTCCACGCGCTCGTGCGTCCGCCCGCGCGCCGCTCCCATTGGCCGGGGGCTTCCGGAAGAGCCAATCAGAGCAGAGCAGAGGTTTGGGCGGGAGCCCGCGCGCGAGGGCGCGGATGCCGGCGAGAAGATGGCAGCGCCGCTCGAGGTAGGGGAGCTGCCGGTGAGGGGCTGCGGCGGGCCGGCCGGCCCCTGGCCCTCCATGGAAGCAGCCTGGAAAGGCGGGACGCCCGACGGGTGGGCTCCAAGGCGGAAGGGCGCTGCCGACCGCGGGACCTTGGCCCAAGGCCGTGCGGGGCCCGGAGGCGCCTCTGGCCGCCCCGCGTGCGCCCTGGCCCCTTCCCTCTGGTTTAACTCTCCAAGGTCAGAGGTGCGCGGGCCCGGATACGTGTCAGAATGCAGGGTTCTTTTATTTTGTGGTACTGGTGTCACCCAGGGCCTCAGACAGGGGGCGCTTTCACACTGAACTACTCTCGCCGTGGCCCCAGTTCAAGTGTCTGCCCTCCCTCCCGCCCTCCCTCTCTCCCTCTCGTACTTTTCGTTTCTTTTCTTTTTTTGTACCAGGAATAAAACTCAAGACCTTGTGCTTGCTAGGCAGGCACTGTGCTACTGAGCTATATCTCTAGCCCTCTTTGTTTCTTTTTCCTCTCTCTCTCTCTCTCTCTCTCTCTCTCTCTCTCTCTCTCTCTCTCAATCTCTGACAGGGCCTTGCTTTGTAATACAGGCTGGCTTCAATTCACTGTGCAACCCAGTCTGACCTTGAACTCAGTAATCCTCCTGCCTCAGCCTTCCTTGTGCTGGGATTGCAGGCCTGCGACATCACACCAAACTCTGGTTTTTACTAACTCCATTCTAACCTCTAATCTCAGCTCATAACCCAATGGAGTTGCAGAAATCTCTCTCCCTGTAATATTCTTTTCTCCTATATTTAGGATAGGGTCTACAGGGTCTCACTGTAGATTGGACTTGTGATTCTTGATTACAGGCGTGCGCCACCACGCCCAGTCTCTGTTGCCATTTCTGCATACCCCAGGAGCAGGCCAGCGCAGCATTGAACCGGGCTGCTGTGCTCTGCCTAAACAGGCACTTTAGTCTGCTGAACTGTCAGGCCAGCCCTCCTGTAATGGTTTAATTGATTAATTTGTGGGGCTTTTGGGGCAGGGTTTCACAGTGCTCAGGCTGGCCTTTGAACTTCTTGTGTAGCCCAGGCTGCCCTTGTATTCATGGATATCCTCCTGCCTCAGCCTCTCCAGCACTGGGATTGCAGGAGTATAGCCTTATACTGGCCCCACAGATAGTTTATTGAACACAAGTCCTGACTGGAAACAGGTGTTTTTCAGAGATGATACTAAAAATAAAGTGGTCTAAGGATAAAACATTCACAGAGAATGCCAGGTCACACTACAGATGTGGACAGCATTCTTTTCCCACATGTCCCTCTGTAAAGGTCCAGTGACAGCCAGCGCTGAGCCTCCTTGGTTGAATCTATAGCTGCTGGTTACAAAATTTGGGGAATGAGAAGGGAGCAGCCCTTGTGGAAGTCATCTGGAGCTAGAAAGGAAGATGCCTCAGTACAGGATGTGCGCAGTGCACATGAACAGGAGTGGGCAGGGTGGTGTACTCACCTGGGCCCCAGCTCCATGGTGCGACTAAACCCAGAGCCTTCACACTGAGCTGCATCCTCGGCCCTGAAAAGCTTTTTATTTTTTACTTTTTTTTTTTTGAGCTAGAGTTTTGCTGCTAAGTCCCTAAATTGTGTAAGCTGAGCTTGTGGTCCTCCTGCCTCATCTGCCCCAAGTGCTGGCATCATAGGCTTGCACCTCCTTTCCTGGTTTCCATTTTGTCTTTATTGGTGATCTGAGGGCTGGGGCTGGGGCTCAATGGTCGGTCGGGAGGTTCTGCCTCTGTCATGTTCCCTGCCCCCACAAAGAACTGAGGCCATAGCCGAGTGGGTGAGCACATTTCCAAGTCAGATGGTCTTTTCCTTGTGTTGAAGTCTTATTTCTTAAAATGAAAAGGAAACAGGAACAGAAGACATTTTCTGTTGCACTGGTCATATTTTGAAGAGGTAGTAGTTTGTGAAAGGACAGAACTTAGCAAGAGGGTCGGGGAGATGGCTCAGTAGAATAAGCGCTTCCCTGGCAAGCACAAGGGCCTGAGTTCAATCCCCGGTTCTGCAAAAAAAAAAAAAAAAAAAAAAGAACTTAGCAAGAGGACAGACTTTCAGTGTCAGCTGTAATGACACACACACATGCATACACAACCAAGCAAGGAAAACGAGAAGGCAGCGCTGTTCTTGTAGAGGCATCTGTTTCTGTCAAATTAGAAGCAGGAAGGACAGGTGGGATTTCTGTGCAGCTAATTCTGTGGCAGGACAAGGCCATACCAATATCACATCCCCTCATGAATGTGTTGCCACCAGGATTAAAGTGGTAGTTGGGAGGTGGAAAGGACTCACTTCTTGGTTTGGCCTATTTTAAATTTTTAAAAATTTGATATTTCTTGTGTTTGTAGGATTTCTAAGTGGAATGATAAATGGCTATTCTTTTCGTAGCTTCAGAAACACAAATATGGAGCTGGGAGTGGTGCACATCTGTCATGGCGGAGAGATTATAAGTTCAAGCCCACCCTGGGGAGCTTGTTTTAGTTTTAAAACTAAAAAAAATAAAAATAAAAAAGGGCTGAGATGCAACTCAGTGTGAAGCTGTGGTGTTCAATCTTGAAAACTGAAAGATGAAAATACAGACAACACAACAATGAAAGCACCTTTCAATGTGTAACCACCAGAGGGTAGAAAGGAGTAAATGATTGTTTTCCTCTGTACAGATACAGATGGTTAATTTGGTTTTTTTGTTTGTTTTTTTGCGCCAAGGTCTCACTATGCTGTTCAGGCTGGCCTTGAGCTAACTTTGTAGTCAGGTTGGTCTTCTTGAACTGTTAATGACCCTCCTGCCTCAGCCTCCTCACTGCTGGGATGACAGGTCTCTGCCACCAAGCCTGTCTTGGCTAAGTTGTTTTTGAAGTTTTCTTTCTTTTTTTCCCCCATTTCTTCTTGTCTTTTGTAGTTTTAGAACTAGAATCATCATAGCACAGCACTCTGTCCTATCTGATTATTTTATTTATTTTTTATTTGAGGCTAGAGTTGAACTGAGTTCATTGAGCTATGTGCCTTACCCTTTAAATTTTGAGACAGGACCTTGGTGAGTTGCACAGGCTAGCCTTGAACTTG